TCCTACCAAGCTCGGTGGTACAAGATTCAAAGCAAGGTTAGTGGCTAAGGGGTTTGCACAAAGAGAGGGAGTCGACTATAATGAGATCTTTTCTCCGGTGGTCAAGCATACTTCCATTCGGGTGCTATTGAGTATTGTTGCTCATCATGATCTTGAGCTGGAACAACTCGATGTCAAAATCGCCTTCTTGCACGGGGACTTGGATGAGGAAATCTACATGCATCAACCTGAGGACTATAAGGTTGAGGATAAGGAACGTCAGGTATGCTGCTTGAGAAAATCACTATATGGATTGAAGCAATCTCCTCGACAATGGTACAAGCGATTTGACTCCTTCATGCTAAAGCATGGTTTCTCCAGAAGTGAGTATGACTGTTGTGTTTATGTTCGAAAACTTCGGGGAAGTAACTATATCTATCTTCTTTTGTATGTGGATGGCATGCTTATCGCTTCGAAAAGCAAGGTAGAGATAAATAGGTTGAAATCTCAACTTGGTAAAGAGTTTGAGATGAAGTATATGGGGGCTGCTAGGAAAATACTGGGTATGGAGATTAGAAGAGAGAGGACGAACTGGCGAATGTTCTTGAGTCAGAAAGGCTACATTGAGCGGGTTATTGCTAGGTTCGGGTTGCAAGGTGCAAAGTTGGTGGTGACTCCATTGGCTTCACATTTCAGGCTCTCTAGTAAACAGTCTCCTACTACAACAGATGAAAAGGTACGCATGGATCGTGTACCTTATGCTAGTGCAGTTGGCAGTTTGATGTATGCTATGGTGTGTATACGCCCAGATATTTCACAGGCAGTTAGTGTGGTTAGTAGATTCATGGCGAATCCGGGAAGGCACACTGGGAAGCTGTGAAGTGGATCCTGAGGTACTTAAAAGGTACTGTGGATACGGGTTTATGTTTTGGTAGAGATGCATGTCATATAAGTGGGTTTGTGGACTCGGATTATGCAGGTGATCTAGATAGACGACGATCTACTACTGGATATGTGTTTTGCATACATGGTGCCCCAGTTAGTTGGCGATCGATGTTACAGGCTACAATTGCTCTTTCTACTACAGAGGCCGAGTATATGGCCATGGCAGAGGGGGTGAAGGAAGCATTGTGGTTGTGGGGTCTTCTAAATGATTTGGGGATTGAGCAGGATGGTGTGGACTTGTGGTGTGATAGCCAGAGTGCGATTCACTTCGCAAAGAATCAGGTTCATCATGCTCGAACCAAGCATATCGACGTTAGTTATCATTTTGTGCGTGATGTCATAGAGGAAGGTGATATTTCTCTCTTGAAGGTACACACAAATGAGAACCCAGCAGACATGTTGACCAAAGTGGTAACAAGTAGCAAGTTTCAGCATTGCTTGGACTTGCTTCACATTAGTCCATGTTGATATACCCGAGTGGGCATGGCCCTTCGGGGTGGGGTTGAAATGAGGTGAAGAGTATATGAAGGTGGAGGTGAACTACGGAGGCTTGATCCCGAGTTTTGGGTACGTAAGCAACCATGGTTTGAATGGTGCGGCCGAGTTTGGCGCTTGCTGCTTCTT